GCAGGACCCACTGGGCAACGGTCGCACCTTTGAATTTGCAGCTTTGTTTCCATCCTTTTACTATACCTCATTGTATTGGGTTGACCCATAATTTCTGGCCGATTTTGGTTCAAATTCAATTTTCTTCATGTCAAATTAGCTTCATATGAAATAAGTTGATATGTTGAAGAACACATCAGGACCTTCAGCCAGGATGTTTCAGAAGCTCAAATGCGCAAAGGGATAATTAAGTAGGAATCAAAATAGATCAACAACCAAACCCAACGATTATGCCTTGCGACAATTTTAAGAAGAACCTTGCAAGGAGCGCGGTAGGCAAGATCAGCGCTACGTTTGCCCCAGTCTTTGCTACTGATCGGGCACTGAGCTATTGGCTCAATAGCATCGGCAAAGGCGATAGGAGCTGCAAAGTTCGACCTCATCATGGACCCCAGTCACTTTCGATGAGGACCCTTGCGCTACGAATAGGAAGTGCATCCGGACGCTATTAGCAGGAAACTGTAGCAAACATCTGGACGCAGCCTACGCTCCATGAGTCGACACCTGAATGGAAGGGGCTGTAGCAGAATGAAGCTCGATGGAAACAGCATGCATCGACTGACCATGACCGAGAAGCACGCCTGACCATCTGCAGAAGTTTCATTCTGCGACCGTATAGACAAGACATTCCCTGGTTGGTCACCAGTGCAGATGAGTCATGAGTCCCCTACGATAACAACACGCGGCTCGCCCGGTGGCTACCTCGCAGCCTGGACGCAGCATCTCAACCAAAACCCGAGCTGTTTCATCAGAGGGTGTGACCCCCGTTTTGTTGGATTCGCTGGGTATCCCGTTTTGAGAACCATTTCACTTTATGCAGACAAGCATTGCGAAGGTAACCATGGAATAGCTTCCAAAGTTGGCCGCAGCAGTGCGGGAGAACGGTTGGAAAAGTCTCAAAATCTCCTTTCTCCGGAGGACCGCCCGAAATCACATTGCAAAGATAACTCGCCACGTTTCGAGGGAAACTGGCTGGACCACGACACCACATCTATCGTATAGCCCTTACGTTGCTCCATCGTACTATCACCTCCTCAGCCCCCTGAAGCAGCAGCTAGGAGAGGAAAAAGTCAGTAAATACAACCACCCCAAAAACGACCTCTTCGAGCTTTTCATCTCACAGCTTCTCTCGTTCTGGGAGGAATGCATCCATTCGTTCCCTAGCAAGTGCATATCAGTGATTATGGTGGTTATGTTTTTGATCAATTGTTCTTTAGGAAAGATAAAACTTGAAGAAATCAAAGTGTTGAAATTGGCCAGAAATTATGGGTCAACCCAATATGTTCGCTCGTAAATACCTTCTTTACACCAAAAACAGCGGTGAAAGAATAAAAACAAAGCTGCAAAATCAAAGGTGCGACCGTTGCCCAGTGGGTCCTGCGACGAACCTCCCCAACATTTCCCCATCCCCGTCCCCTCCTCCAACATTCAGCATACGGCGCCAGAGCATCGGTGCTTTCAAGGTACAGTAATCGGAGTGGTACACATTGCCAAGAGATAGAATGAACATTTCGAAGTCATCTATAATCGATATCCTGGATTTGAAGAATGAATATTGAACCAACTTTCAGAAATAAGCTCAGATTCAATTTGGGTATCGCCGTTCAGAGTTTAACACTTTGACGACAGCGCGGGACACATACGCCCCGCACTCCCACACGGAAGAGACTTGTTTTTCCTAAATTGTGCCTCCATTTTCATGCTTCAAGACTGGCCCTTCCTACTGTTGGATACGAAAAATAGTTCTCTCGTTACCACTAATGAAATTATTGGTAATGTAGTAACTGTTAATGCAAATTTGTAAAGTAAGGTGGGTAGGTTCGCGCACAAGGGCGTGTCGTCAACGTGTTAAGGTACTGTAGAGGCAACTGGTATCACTTAGTAAATGATTGTGCACATACTTCGGCTCGATTCTACATCTACACAGACCAACAAAGACCTTCACTTCTTCAGAATCAGCGAATCGGTGGGGAGGACAAAGTGGAATTTGTACATTTGCCAGCTCTCTTATACATGATACAAGCCATACAGTGTTTTTAGTGCAAGCAAATGCGTAACGCAACCCAAAAAATAATGGCCAAAGCCGGCCGGTGAACGCTCCAGGTGAACGATGCTCTCTATCGACGCTAATAAATTTCGCATCTCCTCCATACTGTCTATAGATTCGGCTCAATAGATCGTCAACGAAAAAAGGAGGTTTCGGTTTCCTCGAGGTGCTACCTACGTGCCTCGCACAAACCTCCGCACTTTGTTTTCTTCGCACACATGCAACAAAGTGCATTTCCAAGCAATCATCAACAATGCGAATGTTGTCAGCATCCGGAGGACAAAGTGCACCATCTCAAGAAACAAGTTCATGTTGTAAAAATTAGAAAATAAGACATCAGACGTTGATCAATTATTTTTGTAATGCTTCACACATTCAATGTCTATTAAGGACCAAAGTGGCTTTTATGGTGACGATTTTCACAAATTCACAAATTTCAATGAAACGGGTTCACAACCAACTATTCCCGTCTCAACGGGGTTTGAAGAAGTATTTTTTCACGGCTTGCATCAAACTTGCTTGACACTGTAAGTGAGCAGTGCTTCAAGTAGGGGTCAGGTCACGATAAACCATAACTATGAGCACCGATATCTGATTACCATTCTTTAACTGGTTCTCTAACAGTTTAATAGCGATAGCGATGATGCCGCTTACGTTATCTCATAGCCCTTTAAGGGTACCTTTGATTGTCAGTCACCAAGTGCGCAGCAACGGAGCCTCCAATATACAGAAAGTTTGCCATTCGAACTGTGAGAAAATTCTCTATGGAAGAATACAGGAGGCGCTCAGTTTCAAGAAGGCATCAAGATTGGTCGAACATAGTCTCGCGCTGTCAAAAGGGAACGATTGCCTTATCAAGCGTAGGATTTCATCCTGCGTAGGAGGCTTCATACTCACATACCATTCTCGCTGAGATTTAGGCTTACAGTGCCCTTCAGTGATTACGTCAAGACCCCTTATGTTGAACGAGCGATGTTGGAGGACCTACTGAGATCTCCTTATACCATTTGAGCGAACGAGGAGGCATTCATCGCTTGTATGACCCAATCACTGGGGTCTGCCAACAACTGCTCTCTTACCACCAAAAACTCGACGAGCATGTGTACGAAACAAAAATCAACTGTTTCGATTTTGATCAAGTGCACAGAGAAGTTAGCTGGAAACATCGTTTTCCTTTCTGCTATACTTCTGAAACACTAAATTCACTACAGAACCTATCACGAATATAACGCGTGTGATGCCTTTAAGTATGCTCTTGTTGACCTCTGGAAACGTTTTTATCGCAAATCCAGGAGGATTTGACCCTACTTCGCGACTACTGCATATATTGCACCTCCCTACATTCACTTCATACTCCTCTTACTTGAAATGGTCAATTTACCTCAGGTGAATCGGTAAAGTCGAACATTCGAAACTATCATCGCTTCAACATTCAGCACAGCTTCCTTAACAATGCAAAAAAATCGAGAGGGCTTTTGACGACTCGGAATGCCTCCTTCTCGAAGGTCTCACTCGTGTAAATCTCTTCCCGGCTATCGATGCTTTTCCAATATATTTATTACGGCCAATGAATGGAGGCGGCACGATTCTCCAGCCCAGCTGGAAAATTTATCAGATCAATTCCAGATCGGAAGACGCAGACATCGTTAATTAAGTCGCCAATTGGCATGCCACATCGCGATCCAAATCTCGCTGATAGTGTAATAAGTTCATTAAGACGAGGAGTTTGCAGCGGGTTTTTCCTGGGGTTTGCCGATATCGAGACATTTTCACACACATGCTGTGTTCCAGCTGGTTGTGCCGAGAGAATGGGTCTGGATACCACGGAACTTGCAAACTGTGAGTTGGATGCTGGTATCAGCCTTGTTTTTGCTGGCATACTTCAACAAAGCACTTCCTACTTCACACAGCATCTTACGCTTATTATGCTCCCTCATGCGATTCTAGAAGCACACAGGAACGCCCCGGGGAAAACCTATAAGTCTTGGGTGTGCGTGAAACTCGCCTCATCAGCACCTGTAAGCGTTTTGAAGAAAGAAGCGGTTCTTTTAAGTGAGGGTAGACACGCATGAGCCACCCGAATTTGCTGCTATGAACAGACATTACATTTTATTGACCGCAGAATTTTTATGGTGTGCAGGAGCTTTAGCGCCTCCTCAAGTTGGTGATTGAGGGACCATTCGACCAAATGGTATCGCATCCTGCACGACATTGAAAGAGGAGATTGAGGGATCTTGGAAAAATTTTCGCGACGCCTATGAGAATCTAAAAAGTTTTCGCAATTTTAGCCGTTCTAGCAGCTTTCTTCTCACACTTGACACAGTACCGGGATTTTGGGGTCAAAGCGGAAGTGTTTGAGCCCAGTTCGACGCAACTGACACGAAGCCCACTATTAACCACCGTAATAAAGAGTGGGGTACTGTATCAAACTCGGTTTGAGCCTCTTGCCGAATTCAAGGAGGTGAATCAAGTAAGTAAGTTATCGCGAAATAGTTCTTATGGTAGATAACTTTTCGAGTTGTTATTGCAATAACATAATTATCCAATTTAATAACTACTATATAGTTAAGCATTGTATGTACTGTAGACTACTGTAACCGTATATAGTAAAATGACCTCATTTGACATGTTTAAATATACTCGTTGTGAGAAGTACTCGTAACATTCCTCTAAAATGGCTCCTCAGCTAGACGGCTGTTATCTGACCTGCAAAGCGTGAAAATCGTGGGGCTGGTCTCTGATTCTCCTTCCGCCTTGTCTCCGCCCTCGGTCGGAGCCCTGTGTGTCCTGTTGAGAGCGGGTCCACCACCACAATTTATCAAACCGCTGCTGGTTACCATCCCATTGACAACTGCCTAATCCGCTTCTTATCTGTTATCACTGTGATAGTTAGCATTATCTACATCATAGAATCATGGGACGGCGTATCGTCTGGAGGGACGACGGGCCAGCGTAAGTAGCAACGTTACTTATATCTTCGTTATTATTGAATTCCATGCTTTATTCCCAGCCATCTATATCTTCATCGCTATTTATTATCAACGTTAAATATGTACCGTATCCTAGCGCTAACCTTCTTACTTAGCTTTTACCCATTTATTAATTCCGCGCCAAAGTGGTGCGATATCGTGCTACCAACGATCTCACTTTATTTCGTCTTGTTTATATTAATTATCTAATATGTTAGAACTGCTTTAAAAGGTATAAAACAGGCCCTTCAAGCATATAGGACAAAACAATAACTAAAACACAATAGACTGAGAAAAGACTAAGTAACTGCAACCTTACTGTCACACACACACACTCTCTGAACCCTGGAATGACTAGGCCTGGAAATGCTGTTGGGCAGTATCCTATCAGGTAATTGCTAAGACAGTGAATCTTTCGCCGCTTTTCCAAAGCTCTAAACAACATTGAGAAGAATACAGTAGATGAGTGGCAGGGCCAGTGTTGTTACACCAGCATATTTGCTATTTCTGAGCATATATTGTCCACATTTTATTTAGGGTAGTGGTCGACATTTTATGCCGAAGAACTATGAAGTAGACGGGTGCAATGGTAGCGAGAATAAGTTATAAGGAAACGCTAAGAGCTCATATATAATATAGTCGTTTTGGCAATTTATTTCAGGACCGGGAGAGCTTAAAGCAGGAATTGGGGCCGATCGAACGCAAGTGCCCTGACTAGGGACATGATAAGATTCGGAGACATGGCTGCGTGATGTGAAGTGTGCCTTTCGTATGAAAAGAAATGTCATTAAAACAGCCCATATCCAGTACGCTGATTTCATTATCCTATTGACTCCGATTAGCCAGGTTTTCTAGTATATTTTTGGACTAAGCTTCAGCGCTTTATCATGACGCTCGCATTGCGACCTCCCTCGTTAAACAGTACGTGTCATTTTTGCGGGTATCTGCCCTTCCAGAGCGCATGTTCACCTATAGGACGCAAGAAGGCTTACCAGCAATTGTCTCCACTAAATTGGAGCTCCGTTGCTGTATCCCACTAGAATTCCACTACAAGTGAATGCTTCCAGCAATTACCCCATCTTTATGTAACGTTACCCAAGTTCCCCACATTCGTATCCTTGACCACCTCTGCGTAATAGCAAATAAAATCAAGAGTTCGGGTTCGAGAAAAAAAAATCAAAAAGCGCTTCAGCAGGTGTTTCGCAGCACATGTACTTTCTGTATAATTTTCGAAAAATTGTATTACCACCGTGGCGATTCTCCAAAACTACAGCGTTTTTTGTCCATCGGTATACCTTGAGCCAAAATTGCTGTATGTTGTCACGGGTGAGAGCCGCCACGGTGATTTTGGATGGCGGCTTCAGTGGATTGTGCCCGATACTTACCAATGTGCTGTAATGAGCGATTGTCTGAGGAAGGACACAATTTTGGGTGAACGTAAGGAGGTAACTAATAAGTTGACCGAAAGGCAAAGGAGGATGAGAAGATTTTGTAAGAAACGTGACCCTCACACTAGTCGAATGGTAATCAGAAATGACCTTGCAGAACACCTTGTTGGAATTCTTGAATTTGGGATGTATTCGACCTTGTCGGCGGATTCAGTGGAGAAAATGAAATCCATGCATTTTTTTACTTGAGGGAACTCCTCCTAGGGCCAACGAATTCCTGCAGTTACGGTGTTACGATTAAAAGACAGAAATTCCCCCACGAAAATCGCACCCTTGCGTCAAAGTCTTTCATTATAACCGAGCAAAAGGAAGTCCCCACAGATATCGAGAAAAAAGATTATCAAGAAAGATTAAAGTCGTTATCGCGTTTGATGATTGGGAATTAGCGAGATGTCGATATAGAGCTGCTGTGATTCACCTACCGATACCTTGGCTGAGCTTAGACTGTCAGGGTCAGTTGTGACTTTTATATCACATTCGTCGCTTCAGAAATGGGAGCGTCCTAATCGACAAATGCATAGTCCTAATCCAACCTCAGTAGACGAGATTAATTTGGAGTGGCCACCTTTCCTTCATACGCACACTAACAACGACGTGATGAATGGTGATCTTCCCGAGATCAGCTCCGAGATGCGCCATGCTAGCGACGTCTGCTTAAAAGATCAGGATTTCGGAATAATTCCTGAGCATTGCATTTGTTCCTTAAAGCTTGCTTCTGCTCATTTTCGCATTGTAGACACTTCGAAAAACCTGTGAAGAGCTGAGCAATTTTGCATTCTGGAATCCGAATGGAATAAAACGATCCGATTATCTCCCACTACACAGGCGTAGGCTGTAACAAATCAGTTGCATCTCAGAAGCAACAAAAGCAGAGGGAAACCTTGACTAACTCTAACTTTCGGTCGGTTTTTCAAACATGCGGTTTTCAACAGAAGTCTATATGCATTTGTCACCTCATGGAGTTTGCTTGGAGCGTTGCCTTGAATTGCCTGACCGGGTAGAGACACCGTTTGATCCTTGTAGAGGACCGGAAGGTACTCTACCTTAGTACTGCATGAATTGCTGATGAAGATGTTGGGCCCATAAATTAATATACAAGAAGGAGCCGCCATCTATATATTGTCCAAAAAATCATAAATTACTTTAGACGTATTTGTCTCGCTAGTGAGTGGTAGCCGTTCCTACGGGCTGCTTTAGCACAAAGCCTGGTAAACAGGTAAAATTCTTACTCAATAGGCAAAGAAGGTCTGTAAGGGTGCAATTGGTCTAATTTTTCCTGTTTCCCATCGAAGTGTCAGTGGCATAGCGTTTCCTCCCTTGCAACACATTGTTCTTTCTAGCCCTTGGAGCTTCATGAGAAACGATGTACAACATCCTGAACTTTGTAAACTTGACGAGTCGAAAAGGCTCATTGAAATCAGATTGTTCTGCCACTAAACAGCAGAAGCGCACATGTTCTAACAAGTTACCAGGCGTTTTGAAAATCCTAGGATCATATTCATTTCTTCTATTGTCGTTAGCGGAAACAAGTTTTTCCTAGTGAAAATGCCAGATGCGTCATCTTATTACAGCACGGTCTTCCTGCTTGACTCAACAACTCATTCCTTGACGTTGAATGATACCCGAGTCTTCTGCAGTACTTTTTCATTACATGATGTCATTATGGAACGGATATCGATTGATTGTTGATGATATGCGAATGATGGCTTGAGACAGTTGTGCACCCTCGAATGTTGCCTCTCTCGCTCTCCCGCTCAACTGCCGTCTTTTGCCTCAACGACAGCACGCAGGTGCGGTCAGCTAGCGATATCCATCAACAACAACGATGCACGACGGAATGCAGTCGTCACGTACTACACAGTGCGGAAGAAGAACCACATAGCTCAAAAAAAACACGGGAATTAATCGAGGATTGCGTCTGAGAATAGCTAGCGGCCAGGCGAAGCTGCTGTGTGTGCGAACCTGATGACGGACAATCACGAACTACAGTTTCTATATAAGGGCACTACAGTATACCCTAAAAACGCACTACAGCTAGATGAAGCGGTGCTTTTCTCCTGCAGGTGGATTAGGCGAGGTTATACTTTCCCTGCAATTTTCCTTTTTTTCTATAATGTCCGGTCAGAGAAACTAGATGAAGAAACCTTGACGGTTCAGATGGCTACTTTCAAATTTTTGGTAACGCGGAGTGCTGAACAAGACGATCTGGTACGAAGCGTTGGAGCATCAATACTGGATATTCCACCTGAAGGCCTCGTTGGCCCACAAAAACATCAAAATTAATGTCAATGGCAAGGTTCTACGAAAAAAGTGTAGATTATGGGAGCCTCTCTTTGACCATGTGAAAATTGATTGAAATTGAAAGGCATCAGAAGATAGAGAACGTTCCAAGTATTTGGAATCGACTCTGCCATAAACAGTAGAGGGTTTCCAGCAACCAAGAAATTTGCAGTAATCCATACCATGATGTGAGCATGTAGCTTAGGACGCTACCGAACTTCTCCAAATGCTCTAAAACGTATCGGCAATGAATAGTCCCCTTTTGGATTGCGCCACGCATTCTATCACAGTTCCGTTCGGTATCGTAAGCATTTTGAATACGTGTTGGCCTATTCAACGGTTTGCAGAAACC